TGCCAGCAGGGCCTGGACAAAGGGATGCTACCTCCAGAATGGCAATTTCAGGCTTTTTAGGTTTAAAAAGGGAATGGGAGACATGGAACTTTCCTCTGTGAGTTGGAAAGTAGTAGCAAAGTGCGTGTCCCTGCCTCCTACCCCTTCTGAAGATGACAGTTGGGAGGGGGGAACGTATCTGCCTTTGGTAATCTGTGTTCTGTTGCTATACCAAAGTAACTGAGGCTGGGTCCTTAATGAGATGAAGGTTTATTTGGCTCATAATTGTGGGGCTGGCCAGAGCCCCTGGCTGTGTCATAGCATGGCAGAGAAATTCAGAAGGGAACAAGAGCACCAGATAGTCTTGGCTTCTGTGACAGCAAGCTCTTGAGGAAACTAAGTCGCTTGGGACCAGTATGAAGCCCAGTTCTTACGGGCTCTGCCACCTGAACACTGCCACACTGAAGGTCAAATATCCCACACAGGACCCTTCTGAGGAGCACTCTCCACCCACATTCAGACCATAGCACTGCGACACAATCCAGGCCCGGTTATTTCAACCTCTTGCATTTTTATTTCTTCAGAGACAGTAATCGGTACCCAGGGTGTTAAGTCTGGGCTCAACTTGCAAGCCCTTCGATACTGTTACTATGCCTAGCCGAGAGGCTTCATTTCTTCCTCTACACAACAGGAACATGGAAATCCACCTTGCAGAGTCACTGGAGGGATGGAACAAGGTCATGTCTGACCAGGAGCAGACAACACCAACAGGAGTGATTTTCAGCCTTTACTAGATGTCGCCTGACCAAAAGGGGCCATCTGTCCCAACACTACCCCCTTTGGTATAAAAATTTTCAGATTTATTACAGTATAATTTACATGCCATAAACTCACTCACTGCAAGTGCCCAGTTCAGTGTTTAGTAAATTACAGAGTTCTATCCTCATCCCTACAATTCAGTTTTAGAACTTTTCCATTATCCCAAACATCAAATTTGCAGTCCATCTCCCCACCCATGGTCCCAGGGCCCAGGAAACAGTTCATCTGTGTTCTGTGCTCATAAATTCGCCCTGTCTGCACATTTCATTCGGTCAGTCAATTTCTGCATCTGGTTTCTTTCACTAAGCATCATGTTTCTGTGATTCCTCTAGCTTGTAGAAGCTACCCAAATTTAATTGCTTGATATCATCAAGTTGTAGACTGCCCTTCCATTTGGCTACTACTTAATGTTGCTAGGAATGTTTGCATCCAAGACTGTGTGTGGACATAAGTGGTCTCTTATGTATAGACCCAGGGCTGACTGTGTGATAAGTTCCATCGGATGTGTTGAAATAGGTTCTTGTTATGTATCCAGGCTGGCCTGGAATTTTGTGGTCTTTGTAACCCAGCCTCACAGAAACTGCCCCATTATTTCCCAACATGGTTTCTCATTTTATGTCCCATCAGGATGAGGGCTCCAGTTTTCCCAGATCCTCACTAACATCTGGCACAACTGCCCCATGATTAATAACAATCTATGGTCCCTGTTTGCATGACTCCACTGGTTCACAATACTAAACATCTCTTCATGTGTTTATTATTTTTTTATTTATTTTTGGAAAAGGCTCTCGCTTTGCAATCATGGCTGGCCTTGAACTCTTTTGTAGATCAGGTTGGCCTTGAAATCATAGAGCTCCTCCTGCCTCTGTCTCAGGAGTGCTGGGATTAAAGTTGTGCACTACCACGCCCAGCTCACAAGTTTATTGTAATCCCTGTCCGCTCTTGGTGAGGGCCCTGCTGGAGTTCTTCCCCAAGTCTTTTTATTCTGGAGGTTTTTTCTTCCCTTCCTTCCTTCCTTCCTTCCTTCCTTCCTTCCTTCCTTCCTTCCTTCCTTCCCTCCCTCCCTCCTTCCTTCCTTCTTTTCTTTCTTTCTTCCTTCCTTCCTTCCTTCCTTCCTTCCTTCCTTCCTTCCTTCCTTTTTTTCTTTCTTTCTTTTCTGAGACAGGGTTTCACTGTGTAGCCCTGGCTATCCTGGAACTCACTCTGTAGACCAGGCTGGTCTCGAATTCACAGAGATCTGCCTGCCTCTGCCTCCCAAGTGCTGGGATTAAAGGTTTGCACCACTATGCCCGGCTTTTTGTTTTTTTTAAAGCAGAGAAGTTTGTCAATAGGTTTGATGATGGCTAACTTGACCCCCCATTTTTTTTTAAGGACTATTACTTTTGGTGTCACATTTAAAAACTCATTCCTTAGTCCAGGGTCATGGACCTCCACATTTTCTTCTGGAATTTTTACAATTTTGGCTCTTTTATTTAGGGCTGTGGTACATTCTGTGTATGCTTGCACACGTGTTCATGTGCATGTGTCCAGGTGTGTGTGTGTGTGTGTGTGTGTGTGTGTGTGTGTGTGTGTGTGTGTATGTGTGTGTGTGTGTGTGTGTGTGTGTGTGTGTGTGTGTGTAAGTGAGCGGTCTAACTGGATGTCTGCCTCTGTCACTATTCACCTTGTTTTTTGAGATGATGTTTTCCTGAATCTAGACATCACCAATTCAGCTAAACCACATGGTCACTGAGCCCCTGAGACTCTCTTCTCTCCTCCCCAGCACAAGAACTACGCATGTGTGCTGTCACATCTGGCTTTTTACATGGGTTCTGGGGGTCCAAACTCAGGTTTCCAAGCTTCAGAAGCAAACACTCCCCACTGAGCCATCTCTCCAGCTCCTGTGACCCCTTTTGAGTGGATTTTTGTACAAAGTGTGAGATAAGGGCTCAAGTTCATTGTATTCTTGCATGTGTACAGATGCTGTGGGCTAAACGGTGCCCTCCTTTCACCCTCAAATCTATATAGTAAAGCTCTAACCCCTCAGGATCTATGTATTTAGAGAAGGGTCTTTACAGGAGTAGTTGAAGATTAAACAAAATCATTAGGGGTGAGCCTTAATCCGTATGAACAGCGTCCTCTGGATTAGGGTGCAGATAAAGAGAACACCTCCCGTACAGTCAGAGACAGCTAGCCCAGGACAAGGCCTGGGAGACCCTGCTACTTTCATTTAAGCTTTTAGAAGTGCCAGAAAACCCATCCTGCTGTTGAAATCCCCAAGTCTGTAGTGACTAGTGGCCCCAATAAACTATGAAGTGGTTAGTTGTCCCATCTATTTATTAAAACTCTTAGCTGGGCGGTGGTGGCATAAGCCTTTTATCCCAGCACTCAGGAGGCAGAGGCAGGTAGAATTCTGTGAGTTCGAGGCCAGCCTGGTCTACAGAGTGACTTCCAGGACAGTCTCCAAAGCTACACAAAGAAACCGTTCTCCAAAAACCAAAAACCAAAAAAACAAAAACAAAAACACCCAAACAAAACACCTCTTCCCTCTTTGAACTGTTTTGGCATCTTGCTGAGTATCACTGAGCCTGGCATTTTGGAACATTTACTCCTGGTTCACAACATTGTCCAGTGATCTGTGCACGGGTCCTAGGAAAGCACCACAGAGTTTGAATTACTGCAGTTTGTACAGAATCTAGGAAATGGCAAGTGTGACTTGTCTTTCAAGGTCCTTTGCATTTACACACACACACACACACACACACACACACACACACACACACACACACACACAGAGTTGATCATCTCAGCACCACTGTGGTAGTTTAAATGTAACTGGCCCCCATAATCTCATAGGAAGTGGCACTATTAGGACGTGTGCCTTTGTTGGAGCGGGCATGGCCTTTTTGGAGGAAATGTGTCACTGTGGGGGTGGGCTTTGAGGTTTCCTATGCTCAGATATTGCCCAGTGTCTCAGTTGACTTCCTGTTGCCTGCAAGATATAGGACTCAAAGCTAACTCTCTATACCATGTCTGCCTGCAAGCAGCCATGCTCCCCACTGTGATGATAATGGACTGAGCCTCTGAAACTGTAAATGAGCCACCACAATTAAATGTTTTCCTTATATGAGTTGCTGTGGTCATGGTGTCTCTTCACAGCAACAGAAACCCTAACTAAGACATCCACTAGGAAGCCCATTGGATTTCTACAGGATTAAGTCTCGACTGAAAGAAATTTTAGAAGGATGGCTGCTTTTGCAGCTCCTAGTCTTCCAACTTATGTGTACAGAATGCCTTTCCATCCAGCTAGAAGTTTTTTGTTTGTTTGTTTGTGAGCCAGGGTCTCACTATGCAAGCCTGGTTACCAGAACTGTGTAGATGAAGCTGACCTTGAACTCACAGAGAGTTCTGCTTCTGCCCCAGAGTGCTGAATAAAGGCGATCACTACCACAGTCAGCTTTACTCAAAGCTCTCTGGACTCTGCTTGGCAATGCTTTGAGGTTCAGACTATAAATCCTGCACTTTCAGGTAAGTACATTTTTAAGGGTTTTTACCTTTTTTTTTTTTTGGAAGCTGGTGTGAGCAGAACTTCTCTCAGTTTTTAGACAGTGTCTCTCACGAAACCCAGAACTTGCTGGCTGGCTGGACAGGCAGGCCAGTGAACCCCCAGGACCTACCTGTCCCCACTCCTAAGCTCAGGATCACAGGGGCTTAGTGCCACTCTCAGCATTTTAAATAGGTGCGCGGCCAAACTCAGAACTTCGTGTTTGTGTGGCAAACACTCTGCTGACTGAGTCATCTCCCCAGTGCGTTCTTAACTCCACTTTTGGATAGAGAAACAACTGGCGACTGCACATGGCACCTGCATCCTGTGATCTTACTGTGCTCACCTAACAGAGAAACTAAAGGAAATGAAAACACGCTTCCTTCCCGACCAATCCAGTCCAGCCCAGTCCAATTCAATAGCACCAGAAGGCATATTCAAGGGGCAGGAGACCAGCTGCTCTATCAGTAATAGGGGTTGAATGCTGACTGGAACATTCATGCCCAGGGCCACACCACACAGCCACTGAGAGTGGATTTGGGTTGATGCCACAGTAGCACGGGGGATTTGTATGTTTTGTTCTGTTTTGTTTCCCACCCTCCCATGAACATTTGGCACACAGAAAGGAAAACAAAACAGAACACCCACGAGGGAAGATGGTGTTGGCATCTCAGCTTACCTTACAGTACTCGTCAATCGGTATCAGGCGTTTGACAGCCACGTCCCGGATGTGGCTGCGGCGGAAGAGGATTTTGCCTGCAGGAGATGAGAACACATTCAGCATGGCAGGGAGTAGTGACCTGCCCTCTGCCACCTCAAGTGGCTGTCTGGGGCGGACTTGAGGGCTATCAAAAGTCCTGGCTGCCCTCAGCATTTCCAGGCTGCACCGGGAGACAGCTTGGGTAGCTGAGTCAAGCTCAGCTCCTCAGAACTCTGCCACTGTAGCACAATGGCTGAGGAAAATGAGCCTCATGGGGAAGAGCTTTAAGTGTTATAAGGATTGAACTCAGAGCCTGGCTCATGCTAAGCACATGCCCTGTGATGGGATTACACTCCTGCCCCACCTCTACACCAGGGGTAGGTTAAAAGCACAGTCGTTGTACATATTTATGGGCCACACTGTAACTATATGTGCAATTAAAGTGTTCAGGATGACTGGCGTGGCTCTCACTTCCAGCATCATTCTCATCCCCGTTAGAAACACCCAAAAGCCTCTCTACCAGCTATTTTGAAAATCCCAATCTGCGGTTGTCAGGCGCGGCTCCATACTGCCCTGTAGTGTCGGCTGCTAGTCCTTCCTTCTCTCACTGATAACCAATCCCACCCTCTCCCAGTGCTCTCCACTCTTGTCCAGGCTCTGGTAACCGCGACTCTACCTGCTCTTTCCATGAGGTCATCTTTCTAGATTCTGCATTTGTGTGAAGTCATGTGGGACAGCCCCTGCCGGAAGGGTTCCTCCAAGGTGAACCCATGCAACCCAAGGCTCTCAGGCTGCACGGACAGCTCAGAGCAGAAACTCAGCCCCCTTCCTTCCCTCATTCATGTCTCTGCTCCCGTCCAAGGGCTCCCCAAACTTGGGAGCTATTTGTTTAATGATTCTGTGTCTTTCTGCTCCACCCATGCTTGCAAGAAAAGAAAAATCTAGGAGATAAAGCACCAAGGGTTTGAAGTACTCCGTCTTTGAGTGGCAGACGACAGGTAACATTTTCTGCTCTACGCTTTTCCTAAAGTTTCTACCATATTTATTGCTTTTGGAACCATAAAAACGTCCTCCCACAGAAGAGGGGACAGTATTGACAACCTGCTTTCCTCAATGGGCCATCCCCATGGGAACAGGCAGGGGCGGGGGCAGCAGGCCCTGCTGGTTGCCCTACCATGGAGGAACCCTGCTGGGATTCTGGGTGGGGCATCCTTCCCAGGGCAGGACTGTCCCCAACCCATCATTTCAACTGCCGATGGAGCGGGTGGCCTTCCCAGCCTCAGTCACTGTGACAATCAAATAGCCCTCCTTCTCATTTTCACTGGTCTCTGCAGGCAGGGCTGTTTGCAATCTAGACTCCACTGAAGTGCCACAAGCCTGTGAGGCTTCATGACTAAGAAAGAGTGTGATGCTATGGAGCAGCCCTGGGCAGCAAATGCTTTCTGCTGTTACCTGTTTCTCAAAGTGGGAGAGGATCTCCCCCCCCCCCCCCACACCCCCCCCACCCCCCCCCCCCACCCCCGCAACCAAAACTAATGTGGTCCCATTTGGTGGCAGTTCCCTTCTGTACATCAGGGAAGGAGGGTAGTATTCAGGCTTCTTACCATAAAGGTAATGGGCTCAAAGTATTTACAACTAGCATGGCATTTCTGCCAACCCACAGCACAAGGAACAGACTTGTCTCAAAGCTACTACCCAACTAAAGAGTCTGTTTTGGTTAAAGTGTGTGTGTGTGAGTATGTGTGTGTGTGTGTGTGTGTGTGTGTGTGTGTGTGTGTTAACTTGGCACAAGCCAGAGTCATCTAAGAGGGAAGCCCAGGTAAGAACATGTCTCCATAAGACTGGCCTGTAGGGAAACCTCTGGGGTATTGTCTTGGTTAATGATTCATTGGGGAGGGTTTAGCGGACTGTGGGTGGTGTCACCCCTGCACAGGTGGCTGAATGAGCCAGGAGCAAGGCAGGAAGCAGCAGTCCTCTGTGTTTCTGCTGCAGCTCCCGCCCTGACTTCCCTCAATGACAGACTGTGACATGGACGTATTAGCCAAATAAACCCTTTATTCCCCAGATTTGTGTCTGGTCATGGTGTTTTATCAAAGCAATGGAAAGTAAAGGAAGCCAGAGCCCAATGCTAGGGCTTCACCCAGGAGCTGAGAGGGTGGGAACTCCCCAGGCACACAACAGTGCTTCCACACAAGGACCGAAGGTGTGGCCTTGAAGGGACCTCTGGGGACACTTTGTAGCAGGAGAAGAGCTCACTAGATGGTTACAGCCAATCCCTCCTACACTGTGAGGCTGGAGAGCCAATGGCCTCTGGAGTCTGTGGACTCAGAGAACAGGGCTTTGTTCTTAGAGTTCACCTCCACAACACATCTAGAGCCTGGCCCCTGGTAGACCTTACAAAGGAGTAATTACTATGTGTCCCCCAAACAGTGTGGGGATGCACGACACTCTAGTTAAGAACACATCAATCTTTTCTCCCACCCTCAGCTTTCTGGGCCAGCCAGCCACATCAGAGCCAGGTTACACTGAGGCCAGGAGCCAGGCAGCCTGGCCAGTGCTCTCAGCGGTTCCTACTTGTTGGTGATGCCTCTCTGGTGAAGTGTGAGGACAGCCAGCATGGGCAAGGGTCTGGGTCTTTTGGGAGGATCAGGACGGACGGTGGGGTTACCTCCACACTGGAGTGGAAAGGGTGTTGAGAAAAGAAACCGGCCTTGGTGGGAATGGGCGGCTTTTGTTTTCCATAGTGGAAGAGGGCCAAACTGCAATTCTTAGTTTTCAAGTCGCATCCTCTGCCAAGTTGGCCTCCCCAGCTCTCCCTGGGATGGAAAGTCCACACAGGCTGGTCCCTTCCCCCGCCTGTGTGCTAACATGAAAACTGCCTTTGTCTTGCTGACAAGGCAGTCTGGGTAGAGACCTGACCTCAGGAGAGGAGACTTACTTCCTGCCCATGGCATTGGCCTGGGCAATAGCTGAGAGGTGGGCTCAGAAGGGATGGGCCGGAGGTCCTGGGACCCCTGGGGGTCCCAAGCTGGAAGTGGGCACGAGGACAAAGGGGCTAGGCCCCGAGAGCAGCATTTGCATGAATTCTTGCTAGAAAAGAATTACGTAACCACAAAGGCTTTTAAGGGCTGGGGAGAGGGTCAGGCTCAAGTTCTCTGCCTTGGGAAGTTTCCCAGAGCTGACTTTTGCCTTTCATCCAGAAGAAAGCTACGACTTACTGCTCCCCTCTTTCTTGAAGAAAGTCTGGCTTTTAGAGCCTGGCTGAACTTGAACATTCTTGGTCATCCCAGGGTGATGCCAACATACAGAACGAAGAACCCCCGAAGGGAGCCCCCCCCCCCCCCCCCGACTCTCCCTTGCTGCCTCTGCTGAGAGCCTATTCTGAGCCAGGAATTAAACCTGGCAAAGCAGATTCCCTGTCTTATTTAACAGATGTGGAAACAGAGGTGCAGGGGAGGGGGAGGCTGGGGGTAGTGATTAAAGTCACGGGGCTGAAGAGGGCTGATTCCAAAGCATGTGCTTTACAGCCCTGAGTTTTGGCTACTGCAGCTGGCACATGGGGTTCCCTGCAGTGGGGGTAAAATTCCAGTGTGGTTGATGCTATCCCAGTGGAGGGATTAGAAATGTTAGGTTTCTGTCTTTTTTTTTTCTTTTTGGGTAAAGGAGTCTCCTAGCGGAGGGGGCCTAGCAAACACAGCTAGCCCAATGTTCAACCCAGCCAGGCTGAGAGTGTCTGAGAACCTGCTGACTGTCTGACCAAGAAAGGAAGAAGATGACAAGCTCTCCAAACCATGGATATCTGAGACTAGGGTGACTGTCAGTGTGCCCATCATCCCTGGGTAACAACAGCAAGTGAGCAATGGCCCTCAGTGACCTGTCAGACATTCACACAGTCCTCACGGGCACCAGCATTACAGCACCATTCCCATCTCCAATTGGCAAGAGAGGAAATCAAACCTGCTCTCGAATCATTTACCAAGGTTAGGGGTGTGCGTGTGCCCAGGGTGCCAAAGTTGGAAGCGACTCCAGCATGAAGCAAGGAGCCAGCCACGCCTTTGTTCGCATCCCACGTCTGCCTACCATGCACGCGTTTGTGGTTTCTCTGGGCCCTATTTCCTCCTTTGTGACAGGGGTGTGGGACTGACTCCCTGTAGGGAATGAACTGGGGTGACTGGTGTAAAGCACTCAGCCCAGCGCTTGTGTTAGCTGTAGGTAGCAGTTGTTGACACTTGGAGCAGGTTCTGTTTCCGAGTAATCCCTCTTCTTCACCTCAAGCCTGGACGTTTCTCTTTGGTAGGGACGTAGGGGTGCTGGGGTGCACACAAGTACGAGCCACGACTGCGCTGCACCCTTTGCAGCAGCTGGTGGGACACCTGGCACTCAAGGTGCTTGGTAGATTTGTGTACTGTGAACCCCAACACGTCCTGCCCTAATCCCTAGTCTGTGGAGATGATGGGACAGTCCAAGCCTTACATTATCCTGGATCAGCCTGGAAACCACATGAAACCTTCTAAGCAGACTGCTTTCTCTGACAGGGAGGTTAGAAAGATCTGAAGTGTCAGAAGATGTCTATGTCCCATCACTGGCTCCCTATGAGGAATGCAGCTTCTAGATGCTGGAGTGCCCCCTGGAGGGCCCCCCACTGACAGCCATCAAGCAGACTGCAGGGAACTGATTCTAATACAATGTGAGTGAGATTGGACCGTTCTTCTCTGGCAAGTCCAGGTAGCCTGGTTAACGCCTTAGTTTTGGCCTTGTGAGGGTCAACAGGGAACTCAGCTGAGCTTGCCAAGGCTCCACAGAACTCTGAGGCAATAAGGGCTGTTGTATTGCTGTTAAAACTGTTGGTAACTTGTGACGTAGGAATAGAAAACAGATAATGAGCAGGCGGTGGTGGCGCACGCCTTTAATCCCAGCACGCGGGAGGCAGAGCCAGGCGGATCTCTGTGAGTTCAAGGCCAGCCTGGACTACCAAGTGAGTTCCAGGAAAGGCGCAAAGCTACACAGAGAAACCCTGTCTCGAAAAACCAAAAAAAAAAAAAAAAAAAAAAAAAAAAAAAGGAAACAGATAATGAACACAGTGGTTATACCAACCAGCTGCTGCCTGTGAAAACGCTCTGGGCTTCAGCTCCCACCCTAGAGCTGGGAGAAGCTGAGCATCCTAGATGGCAGGATCCCACTCAAGGTCACACAGTAAGAGGCATATGCCCATTCTTAGCCACTCACTCTGCCCCCGGCTGAGGCTCTTGCCAGTGGAGCCGTGCTGGTTAGTTTGACATGGTTAGGCCCACGTCAACTACACACAAACTGGAGGGACCCAGAAGAGAGAACTCAACTGAGGAACTGCCTCCATCAGAGGAGGCATTGGCCTGTGGGAATGCATGTGTGTGAGTGGCCTGTTCTTCATCGCTAAGTGATGTGGAAGGGCTCAGGCCACTGTGGGCGGTGCCACCTCTGGGCAGGTGGTCACGGGCTGTAGAAGGGAGCAGGCCAAGCAAGCCAGGGTGAGTTAGCAAGCAGCTTCCTCCACAGTCTCAGCTTCGGTTCCTGTTTTACCTTCCTCTGATGACAGACTGGGACGGAGAAGTGTAACTGATGCAATGAACCCTTTCCTCCCATAGCTGCTTTTCCATTGTGGTGTTTATCACAGCCGTAGGAAAGCAAACTAGAAGAGAAACAATGTTGCTGCCCCCCCACCCCCCACCCCCAGGAGAGGGGGTGAGTGAAAGATTTACAACAAGCCCCCACGGTCAGGCGTGTCTGCCTATGCCTGGCGGATACTTCCGCCTAGCTAGGTCCAGGTCCAGATAGCCATTTCCGGGTCAGGGCATCTCGCGTGACCAAGATCCGTGACGTCCCACTGGCCACGTAAGCGCGCAACGTGGCCATGTGATCTACGCGCTTGCGTGTAGTAGTGACGCTGATCTGTCCACGCCCAGCCTTTAAAATCCGGCGCCATGTTCCCGGTTCCTTCTTCTTCTTCTTCCTCTTTCTTCTTCACACACGTGCTTCCCGCAGGCCTGTTCACTCTCTGTCCCTTTACCTTTAATAAAACTCTTGTTAGCGGATTCTGTCGTGTTTCATGGCATTTCCTTGCAGGGTAAGCACACAACGCAGCCAAAAAACTAACATTTTGGTGCCGAAACCGAATGGGCACTTCCGGGCGCCCTGCGCCTGGAAACCCGTAAACCAGAGACTGCAACACTCTGTTCCGTATGCGACAGACCGCTCTCCATTTTGCCTGACCGCAAAAATTCCATGCAACACCGCTTTCTCCGATTGGTGAGTCCCCCCGATTTTTCGGCCAGTGTAAACGGTTTCCTGAATCTGTGAGAACAACCGGTACCTCACAAGTATTCTTGAGACCGGGGGAACCCCCGGCCACGGTCTTCATTGGCTACGGTCGGCCCCTATCGCAGGCCTCAGATTTCTAGCCCTTTCCCACGTCTGCAGCCTGAGATATTTCTCGCGTTGGGACCACCGCCGTTGGGTGCGTCCTGGGGGCCACGTGGGGCCGACACGTTCATCCGACTTGACGAAGCGGCAGACGCTGTCCGGATTCCCGGGGAATCCTTTCCTCACGTGGCAGGGGCCCCCGCTTCTGTGGCTGACGAGCCAAGGAGCGGCTTGTGCCCGGGATCCGTCCTTGGCCTTGGGGACGCCTGGGGCCTTGGCTCCGGATCACGTTTGTTTTTTTATCTTTTTTATTTTTCTGCCTCTCCGCTGCAGACATGGGAAACAAGGCTTCCAACCCTGTTAGTCCTTCCTCTCCGTTAGGCTGTCTTGTTGAAGCTTTAAAACCTCTTAGTTTAATGCCTTACATAAAGACTCCTAAGCTAACTCGTCTATGTTCTAAAAAATGGCCAAAGTATGCTTTAGAAAACAACAAAAATGGCCACCGAGCGGCTCCTTAGATCCCGATATTTTACGGGAGTTATCTAATTACTGTCAGCGCTCAGGCAGATGGAAAGAGTTGCCCTATGTCATAGCGTTTTTCTTTCTCAGTGCTAAACCGTCTCTTCTGGATTCCTTCTCTCCTGCTCATATGCTCCTGGCTATGCCTGAACCGGAGGATTCTCTGACTCCAGAATCTCTGACTCTAGATCCTGCTAACGAACCTCCACCTATTCGACCTCCAGCTCCAACTCCTAGAACAACTGTTCCTTCCGCTCCCCTCCCGGATTCTTCTTCTAAAGCTGCTCCTTCCTCGGCAGCGGCCGGTTCCAAAGGCCCTGCCCTAGCTCCAAACTTCACTCCTCCTACCACCCGCTCTCGGGCTGCTAAATTGCCGGATACCAGCCATCCAAAACCTTCCACTGTTCTCCCTTTGCGAGAGGTGGCTGGTGTGGATGGACTGATTAAAGTTCATGTTCCATTCTCTCTAGCAGAACTCTCAGATAGAAAGTAAGCTGGGTTCTTATACTTCTAATTCTGCTGCCTTTATTAAACAGTTTCTATATATAATTCAATCTTATAGTCTCATCTTTCATGATATATTCATGATACTTTCTAATAACTTATTTCCTGAGGAGCGCAGGCGGGTTTGGGAGCAGGCTAGGATTCATGCAGACGAAATTCATCAAACTAACCTCTCACACCCTCCAGGAGCTGAGGCGGTTCCTGACTGAGAGCCACACTGGGATTATAACACCCAGGGTGGCTGTCTAGCCAGAGATAGGTTTATTACCTGTCTCCTGACAGGTCTCCGTAAGGCTGCCCTAAAACCAGTAAACTATGAAAAACTAAAAATGGTTATTCAAGATAAGGACGAAAATCCATCTCATTTCCTAGAGCGACTCACCAAGGCTCTACTTCAGTTCACTAGCTTAGACCCGGAGAGCCCTGAGGGCAGGCAGCTGCTAATGACCCACTTTGTCTCACAGAGCTTCCCTGACATTAGGGATAAACTTAAATGTTTGGAGAACGGCCCTCTAACTCCACAAGCAGATATGCTGGCGATAGCGTTTAAGGTGTTCCATGGTAGAGATGAAAAAGCCCATAAAAGGAGCTGCCAGATGCTGGCAAGCACTGCCCGACCGGCTCCCCGAAAGCCATCTGGTCCCTGCTTCAAGTGTGGGAGAGAAGGCCATTGGGCCCAGGCTTGCACCACCGGCCCACGAAGAGCACCGACAAAGCCTTGTCCAAAGTGTTGCCAAAAGGGTCACTGGTCAGCTGACTGTCCTAATGTCCCAAGCGACATAGGAGCGCCAGATGAAGACCACCCTCCAGCTGACTTTGTAGGCTTGGCTTACAGCGAGGACTGCTGCTGCCTGGTTTCCGCCCCGGCCACTCCCATCTCACACAGGGAACCTAGGGTAATTATAAAGGTCAATGGGCGGCCCCATCTCGTTCCTTTTGGACACCGGAGCTACCTACTCTGTCCTGAGAGAGTTTTGGAGGCCCACCTCTCCTGCTCGTCTCCCTATTGTCGGGGTTGGGGACAGCCTTATCTACCTCATCAGACACCATCACTCAGTTGCATTTTCAGAGGCATCCCTCTCACACACACATTCTTAGTGGTGCCAAGCTGCCCTGTGCCTTTAATGGGGAGGGATCTTCTAGCTAAGGTAGGAGCGTCCATTTCTTTCGCTCCACACATTCGCCTCATCCCAGACGCGCCAGCAGCTCCTTTACTTCTCCTCCTAGCCATTCACTCTTCTGACTCTAACAATTCCTTTCCCCTACCAGTCTCTCAGGTAGACACAGTCTCTCAGGTAGACACACAGAGCCGGAGGCAAAAAGGACCATCAAAAATATCCAGGCGCCTTTTCTATGTCAACAGTATCTTGTCAAACAGAAGGTTCCCAGCCACAGCAAGGATGGACAGCCGCAGAACGAGGGGACGGCAGAACTTCATTCCAGGACCTGCCCACCAACATCCCAGGACTTCACAAGATACCCTCTCATCCCCCTGCCCCCCAAGAGCCAACCAACGCCCACTATTCAGCTGGAAGCAGTCTTTGAGAGAAACGTTGCCCCCATACCCAGTCAACCACAATTTTTTCTTTTTTTAAAAAAGAAAGAGTCAGGAATGAAAGATTTACAACAAGCCCCCACGGTCAGGCGTGTCTGCATATGCCTGGCGGACACTTCCGCCTAGCTAGGTCCAGGTCCAGATAGCCATTTCCGGGTCAGGGCATCTCGCGTGACCAAGATCCATGACGTCCCACTGGCCACGTAAGCGCGCAACGTGGCCATGTGATCTACGCGCTTGCGTGTAGTAGTGACGCTGATCTGTCCACGCCCAGCCTTTAAAATCCGGCGCCATGTTCCCGGTTCCTTCTTCTTCTTCTTCCTCCTTCTTCTCCACACACGTGTTTCCCACAGGCCTGCTCACTCTCTGTCCCTTTAATAAAACTCTTGTTAGCGGATTCTGTCGTGTTTCGTGGCATTTCCTTGCAGGGTAAGCACACAACGCAGCCGAAAAACTAACAGTGAGCTCATGTGCTCTCCTGGGGACCAGGAGCTGTTCTTCAGTGGCCAGGCTTGCCCTGTCCAAGAGCGTGCACCTTACCCACCTGGCAGAAATGGAATGATCCTCTGCTTGGGATCCTTCTGTCCTCCTTCCATGGGGAACTTGTCCAGCATCTGCATCTAAACAGGGCGGGAACAAAAGCAAAGACCGTTCACAATATGGAACACACACTATCTGACATCTTAGAGGGGTATGTGAAATTTGTGATCTGACAGATTAGAAGTTCCCTCTGTGCAGCTTTCCAGAAACCTGAGGCAATGGGGATGGGGGCTGGATCCGAGGACCATGTGAGAGCAACTGTTTACATCCACAGTTTCCAAACTGTGAAAGCTTGAAGGTACAAGGGACCATTTTAGTTGTTTTTTAAGATCCATTTCAAATTATGTGCGCATGTATATACATCTGTGCCACATGCATGCAGGTGTCCTTAGAGGCCAGAAATGTCAGAGCCCCTGGAGTGGATTTACAGGCAGCTGTGAGTTATCTGATTAGGTTAGGAACCAAATTTGGGTCCTCTGCAAGCAAGGGCAATGCATAATCTTAACCACTGAGCCATCTCTCCAGGCCACCATTCTTGGTTCTCCTGGAGAGTTTAAGCCATGGCACTTGAAATGTGAATAATAGCCTGGCGTCTTCTGTGTCACAGACAGCAAGCAGGTCACTCTGTATTCTGAGAAGTAACAGGTGTGTTAAAATGCCCTTCACCTGGTTAAGCCTATGCTTATGATATCATTCTGTTCCTGACCCACTCTGAAATCCCCAACCTGCTCAGCAGAGCCCAGTGCCTGGTTGTATGTTGCATGCATGAGCCGGTCATGAAGATGAGCAGTCTCTAAAAGAGTCTGGGAAATAATCTGGTGACTATGAAGTAGTGTATGAGACACCATGAAACAGTCAGAGGTAGACGATGGAGTTGGGGAGCAGACCATAAAAACCAGTATCTCTGTGTCTTAGTTAGGGTTTCTGTTGCTGGAAGAGACACCACAACCACGGCAACTCTTATAAAGGAAAACATTTAATCGAGGTGGTGGCTTACAGTTCAGAGGTTCACTCCATTATCATCATGGCAGGGAGCATGGTAGCGTACAGGCAGACATGGTACTGGCTACATCTTGATCAGAAGGCAACAGGAAGTGAACTGAGTGTCACACTGATTGTAGCAGCTTGAGCAAAAGAGACCTCAAAGCCTGTCCCCTAGAGTGACACACTTCCTCTAACAAGGCCACACTTAACTTCAACAAGGCCATACCTCCTAATAGTGCCACTCCCTCTGGGGGGCATTTCCTTTCAAACAACCACACTCTGATGGCTTAAGAAAAGAAAGTGCAGCTGGGTGTGGCTGTAATCCACAGCAGGCAGGTGGGGCTCAGTGAGCTCAAGGCCAGCTTGGTCTACATAATGAATTCCAGGCCAGCCAGGGCTACATGGTGAGACCTTGCAAAAAAAAAATTCATTTTAGAAAAAGAAAGAAACTAATGTGGAATGTCTGGCTTGGTACTCAAAGTCACAAGGATCTGCCACTTAACTCTTGTGGGTTCTGATGTAACTGTAAAGGTCTTCTCTTTTGGTCCCTAATAAAGACGGCATATCACAGCACTGCACTATAGTTAAGCCTGGGCTGGGGGAGGCTCCCGGAGCTGTCTGCAGCTGTGTGCCCGGTTTCTGAACCCAGGGTTGAACTGTGCTTTCCCATACCCCTGAAATGGGCCACGTCTAATGATCAGCGACACATGTTACTTCAGGGTGGAGGTTTGCCGTTCTCTATTTCCTGCTCTCTTGTGATGGACTCAACTCCCTGCTGTCTGCAGTCTTGTGGGGGTAGGGTGGGTGCTGAGCCTCAGCAACCCCACCCATGGTCCAGTCCATGGCCTGGTTGCCCATGTGGGATGCAAGTTGCCCTGCTGTCTGGTGGGGTTATCTGGGTTTTTTGTTTGTTTTTTTGAGGCAGAGGCAGAGGCTCTCACTATGTGGCTGTCCTGAAACTAACTATGTAGACCAGGCTGGTCTCAAACTCACAGAGATCTGCTTGCCTTAGCCTCCCAAGTGCTGGGATTAAGGGCGTGTCTCTTGGCTGTCACCACCAACCATGATGCCTGGCTCAATAATACAGACGATGGCCTCTTTCTGGCAATGTTAGGGACTGAACCCGGGTCTCCCCACATGCTAAGCCAGTACTCTACCACTGAGCCAGCCCTGAGGTTACCTGCTACAGCAGCATATCCTGATCTTTCCCAATTTACAAGGAAGCTAGAGAGGAGGAAAGGAGTCCCGGGCCTGTCAAGAATGGCTGACGGGTAACAAGCGTCCCCACCTTCAGGGGGAGCTCATCACCCCGACTTCCCAGACTGTCTCTCTGATGGAAAGAAAGAAGTCTGGAAAAGTCCAGGAGAAGAGGCTTCGGGAGGGAGCAGACACACAAGTAAAGGAGGAGATGTGTTCACGGAGCAGGCAGGTGCTGCATTTTAGCAGGACTCCCCGCCCCCTGCCCCCCAATTCTCAGAACCCTATAATGTGAACACTAGCACCCAAGGTCCTAGAGACGAAGAAACTGAGCCAGTGCCTACAGCCCAAGTGTGGCAAGGCCAGAGCCTGCAGCTCAGGGGCTTTTTGTCACTGCAAGACTGCACCTCTGCCATGCTGAGAAGACACAGAGAGGGCAGGGGGTATGTGTGTCGGGCTGGAGCTCCTGGCTTCTTCTGTGCTGTTTTATACCATGCCCTGGCGGAGCCAGCTTCGGTGCGGCTGGACTTGCCGGGCAGCTGCGGTATGCAGAGGCTTTATTCATGGATTTTATTATTATGTGCAGTGCTAGGGATAGACCCAAGGACTTTGCACATGCCATGTAAGAGATCCTGCACTGTAGCCACTGGGCTACCCTGGGTCCTGTTATCCATGGCATTATTTGTGGCTGTCCATCACTGGTCCCCACTCTGTCCTGCATGGGAAATACTCGGTCCACTGTCCTTCCCTGACTGCCAAGGCCACTCTGGGCCTCCTGGGAAAGATGGATTCATTTATGAAGAGTGCTTCTATATCAGCACAGAGCAGGCTTTCAATAAACACAGGCAGAATGGATGCTAACAGTGGGGGAGACTGGCAAGTTCAGGTGGTACCCCAGAATACTCTGGACTTTCCAAGACATTTTATGGTGAACTAAAAAACTACCCCCAAACACAGAAGTTTAATGAAAAAGAATCAACGAATCCAACAGAGATAACTTTTTTCCTTCGGGAGATCACTTCAAGGCACAGTTAAATAACTCTAATGAGTAACAGTCGTATTACTAACATAAAATAATAATAATAATGGTTACAGTGCACTGCAGTTGACAGTTAAGTCTTCACATTTAGTCTCATCTGATCTTTACAACAACCCTCTGAAACAAATGCTACAAGTTCCAACCTGGGGCCAGAGAGGGGAATGAACTTGCCTTAAGCCACACAGCAAAGCAGCAGCATGACGTGTCCAAATACCTTTGTCTAACCACATTCTCCTAATACCACTCTTTAGCTGGCTTCAGGGTTACATGGATATGGAAAACCAGCTGGAGACAAGGTAAGCTTAATGTTCTGTGCACACGTGAGTGGCACATCATTCCCTTCTCAAAAGCAATTCATCAGTCTTAGCTGCAGAGGCTCTGAAATTGATACTCTTGCCTAATGCTATCTATTCCCCCCACCCCCCGACTGCCCCCACCACCACTGCCACAGAGAAGCACGTTGTCAAGAATGCACAGTAACAAGGCTGCTACTGTTCTCTTGGTGCCTTTTGAGACCCTCTCTGGATCTCCACACTGGCTAACGAGTGCCCACACTGGCTAGTGATGTCTGCATTGGCTAACAAATGTCCACACTGGCTTATACACCACTGGTCTAACCTCAGCTAAGTCCCTTTAGAGCAGACAGCTCAGATGAAATCCTGATGCTACCTCCACCGGCTGCATCCATTGAGCCTGTGAGGCCGTTTGGGAAATGAGGGACATTCTGCAGGGGGCTGTAAACACTACTTTGAAACTGATTTGGGAGTAACTTAGCAGTCTGGGAGGCTGGTTGTTTGTTTTGTTTGATTTGTTTATTTATGAATATGTATGCTCTGTCTGCATGTATGCCTGCAGAGGGCATCAACTCTCATTATAGATGGTTGTGGGACACCAGGTGGATGCTGGGAATTGGACTCAGGACCTCTGGAACAGCAGCCAGTGTTCTTAACTGAGGAGACATCTCTCTAGCCACGTTTTGTTTTTGTTTTTTATAACACAACTTTCAACCCTATCTGGGTGCACAGTTCTGTGGCCGTATGCACACTCACTCAGCGGACATCCATCTCCTCCATCATCTCCACAGACTTCCATCAGCCAGAGCACCAAATAGCTCAACATCCACCCTGCCTGGTGTCACCACCTCCTCCTTCTGACTCAGTTGACTACTCTGGGTACCTTGCACAGGTGTAGTGAAACATCTGTCCTTTTCTCTCTGGCTGTACTCTACTCAGGGCACAGTGTTCGGGTTCGATCATATTACAGCCAGTACAGGAATTGTTTCGTTTTGTTTTGTTTTTTGTTTTTGTGAGACAGGGTCTCTCTGTGTAGCTACATCTGTGACCCTCCCCCAGGGGGACACACTGAACCTGGAGGACTCAGAGTGCAAAGGCTGTATAACACAGTGTGAGGTGGACCCATGTCTGGGGCTTATCTGTAAAGGACTCAGGTGGTGCTCAAGCTGGAGGGAGGAGATGTGGCCATGAACCCATGAACAGGATTCTGAGGGCAAGTTCACCTTTTCAGACACACCCAAAGGTAACCCTGGGTCCCAGGGAGGTAGTGGTTAGAGCCCTGCTGTTTGGGGCTTGGACTACCGCTCGAAACTTGAGTGTTGACACTCGTGAAATGGCCATGGTGCTGACCTCATGCTGGCAAGGGAGGGTTTGGTGAGGTGGCATTTAAGATGGGCACCTCACAGTTCCAGGCAAGAGTAGTCGATATTAATGCACTGCTCTGCTGGGTGCTGCCCTGAGCCTTGTGGGTACTCCAGTCACTCATCCCCAGAGCCTTGCTTCGATGTCCGCTCCCTCCAAGACGTTCTTATCCACTCTACATCACCAGCTCAGGCTAAGGCAGAAA